TTTTCTCATTTAGTTGAAACTTGTCCACTATTAATAATAAGAAAGTATTATAATGATAGTATGAGGGCTGCTGCAATGTCTAAAAGACAAACAAAATGATTTGAAGTTACTGCATTTAATTTTTTTCTGTTTCAGTTTATATGGATGGTTGCTTTTGTCTGATTTCCTAAGATTTAAGAAGAATTTGTTGTTTTGTTTTTCGTTTATTTTAAAAATTTATTTACTTAGGCATTAGTTTTCATATCAAGTAAATTAATTATTTGTTATGCAATTTCTGATTTTTGTTAGCCAACGATAGTTAACGTACCGAAATAGTAATGTAATGTTTGTGATATTAGAGTAACTTTCTTAAATAATCATTTATAAGACGTCCGGGAGCGCCATAGTAAATAATAATAATAATAGACATTCTTGCTTCGCATAAGCTCGCTTGTATGGGGGTGAAGTATATGAAAAATATTTTTTTGTATTGCCATCTGTTTGATATATTTTTTATTTATTTTTCTTGGGAATTTTTAGTAAATATAATTATTTAAAAATTTGTATGATATTTATTTTATCCCTCATAATTATTTGTCATAGAATTTTACATTTTTATTGGGCATTTCATAATTGTTACAAACAGATAATAAAAAAGGAAAATTTTAATTATAATTAAGAGGAAAATTTACTCAAGCAATTATCTTTTTCTAAACAATACGAAATAGAGCCACAAATATTTCTATAGTTTAATTTTACTTTTTAGTGAATGAAAAATATATACCTTCAGGTAAAAGTGAAATGTCTGTTTTTCTGGAGCCACTATTCCGAAATTTGATTTAATTATTTTCTCAATTTTTGAAATCTTTATAAAAACAAAATTTTGCGATTTATTGCCATCAAAATTTGATTAAATTTTGAAAAAGTGGCTTTAGAGGAACATATTTTAGCTACACGTACATGTTTTTTATTTCACTAAAAAATTAAAAAAATTACTATCAAAATTTTGTATGGCTATATTTCGTATTAGTTAGAAAATAATTGCAAAAGTAAATTCTCCTTTAAAAAAACCTGCCAATTTTCAAATTAAATATAAAATTACGGGTAACTGCATTACCGACAGAGTAAGAGTTGATGGTAATACTGCTGGTAACTACATTATCGACAGAGTAAGATTAGTTCTACTCCTCCACCCCACAGGTCGTTGCAAGCAAACATGTTGCCAAATTTCTACAAAGAAACGGCAACTCTTAATAATCCTTCCTCCATGACCCCACCCACCATCATCGAAAATGGTAACGTATGGCGATTTTTTTAATCTGGATGTCATATTATCAACAAAAAATTACATTTCTACTAATGCGGCATTCATCAAATTCTATAGAGAATCATACCAATAAATTCACATGGTTTTCTGTAGGATCCGAAGCCAGATGTGTCTCTACCACAAAATTGACTCGCAAATAATGCACGCGCCGTAGACACCTACGTTACCGTAGTCGATAACTTGTATTTTAATATACTATTAGTGTACTTAATATATCTATATACTTTGGTTTTATTCACCTACTTTTTAATTTGTTTTCCTGGTAAGTACAAAATATATTTTTTGAGAACCTATATAAAATAATAGGCCAGGGTTCGGCCCGGTCCCAGTCTCGGCCGCATATTCATATGTTACCGACACAACCAACCGCTCTGGAAAGCCGATTGATATTATATAAGTTACAGACGTAACTTTAGGATTCTGTCAGTAACGTATACAAGCAACAAGTGGTATATTAGCTTCTATATAATAGGTATTAAAAAAACTCTTGATATATTAGCGAGGATAGATGTTTATTCTTGTATAAGATAAGATTTAACATTTATTTTTTGAGCCTATGAAAATGGTTAATTATTACAGTCTAAAGAAAATATATGTTTCGGGAAATAAACTTTAAATAAATATTAAAATATATAATATAGACAAACTCTCTACTTTTTCCTTTTGTTATCACCTAATCCTACATTTTTTTCGACACATTCCTTTAAATTTAGGGGCGCTTTTTTTTGCTTTCCGGAAATACCGCTGGTAAGTCTTCTACTTCCAGTCACCTAAAATAGTTATTGTTATGTTTGACATGCTCATTCTTTGATGTAAAAGATTATACGTAGCGGAAAGTCATTTTTTTTGAGAATTTCTTGATAAATAATTTTCGAGGTATCCACGAAATATGGTCCATATACATAAAAATAAAAAAATAAAAATAAACAAAAATAAAAAAAACAAAAATAAACATTTATTCACCTGACAATTGACTGGTTTATCTCCAGTGCCACTAACTTAGTTAAAAAAAAAATATACATAAAGTTACTAGATACATTATTGCAATGGAATAAACAAATTTTCATACTTTAATAACACCACTGCTCGCAGTCATTGCCAAGCGTTAAGTTACAAACATAAACTAAGAATTACGTCAGCAACTTATTATTACGGGTTCAGAATCGTTCGGAAATCAAATTCTCTCTTTGTGTTGGTACCATATGAATATGCGTCCCGGCCCGTTAAAGTGCGTATAGATATAATGGGCTGGGCCCGGGCCGGACCCAAGCCAAGAAAGGGCCCAGGTTTGTCAGACTTGTACGGTGTCTTATATCTACCACGCGATGAAAAGTACCGAGCCAGGCCAAACAGAGCTCAGCCCATTATATCTGTCAGTTCGTTCCATTGCTAAATCAACTGGAATAGCAAAGTCAATGTTGGCTCGGTTGGTAAAAAAGGCACGAGAAAGTGAAGGAGAATTTTCATATCGACCCAATATTGACAACAGAAAAATCTTTACAGAGCATGAAGAACAGCTATTGGAAGAATATATAAAAAAGGCATCCAAAATGGCATATGGACTCACTCGATCCCAGGTTCGTGGACTCGCATTCCAATGTGCAAATAAACTTAAGAAGTCTTTTCCAAATAGCTGGACTCAGCATCAAATGCCAGGTGTACATTGGTATAATGGATTTGTAAGAAGGCATTCCAGACTTTCATTACGCAAGCCAGAAAAAACAAGTTTAGCTAGAAGCACTGCATTTAATAAACATACCGTAGAAATGTTTTACAACAACCTGAAACGTGTTCTTAAGAAGTACAAGTTTTCTGCTGACAACATTTACAATGCAGATGAAACAGGTCTTTTAACTGTAACTGATCAGCCAAAAATACTTGCGCAAAAAGGTGCAAAACAAGTGGCTCAAGTATGCTCCCAAGAAAGAGGTCAGCTAGTAACAATGTTAACATTTATTTCGGCAACAGGAAATACGATCCCTCCTGCGTTCATTTTCCCACGAGTCCATTATAAAGATTTTATGCTCGAAGAGGATCCAGTTGGAAGTCTTGGACTAGCCTTTCCTTCAGGATGGATGGATACAAATAATTTTATTTCTGCATTAAAGCATTTTATTAAACATGCGAAACCCACAAAGGAAAATCCAGTTTTATTGATTATGGATAACCATGAGACGCATGTTAGTATTGATGTTATAATCATGGCAAAGGAGAACAATGTAGTAATATTATCTCTATCACCCCACTGCAGCCATAAGCTCCAGCCTTTAGATGTGTCAGTTCTAGGACCATTCAAAACTTTTTTCAAGTGTGCACTGAATGACTGAATGATCAATAATCCAGGAAAAACAGCAACAATCTACACTCTTCCCAAACTAGAAAAATCAGCTTATGAAAAAGCCTACACCATTAAAAATATTACTGCTATATTCCGTAAAGCCGGAATATTTCCATTTGATTCAAATGCATACACAGATGACGATTTTGTATCTGCTTCAGTAACAGATCGTCCTTTTTGTGAAACCAATGCTCCATCAACATCTGGTGTTCAATATCCTGAAATAGCACAAGGTTCTCAAACAGAAATAATACCTTGTGAGGAAAATCGACAACCTGTGGCACTTTCTTGTCAACAAATAAATATTGTAACTCCAGAAACAGTCCGACCTTTTGCAAAGGCAGAGCCTCGAAAAAATAATAGACGAGGAAGAAAAAAGTGATGACTGATACACCTGAGATAATAGCACTGAAAGCGATCTCCGAAGAAAAGGAAAATAAGAGAAAGAGGTTCTTGTCAAAACAAGAAAAGACGGCTAAGAGGAAAATATTGCAAGAAAGTAGTAGCGATGATTCAGGAAGTATTAAATATGATGATAGCGAGAGCGGTGACGATTTCAGTAATGAGGATATTGAATTAAACGTAGATTTTGCAATAAAATTAAAAGATTTTGTTCTGGTAAAATTTGAAACAAAAGAATAAAATTACTTCAGGCATGCTGTAGGTCGTGTTCTGGATGTAATGGAAGAAGATGAGTTCTGGATAAAATTTATGAAAAAGTCTACCAAGACAGATACCTTTAAATATCCAGTTGATGATGATATAAGCGAAGTGAACAAAATTGATATTATGGTTCTACCGGAACCTCAAAGAATGGAAGGTTCCAAGCGGGTTAACGAGTTTTTTAAGTTCCCTGTCGATCTGTCTAATGTAGCAGGAATTATATGATGTAAAAGTTTTTTTTAAAAGAATTTTAATAAAGTTTTTTCTACTTTCAGTGGTTTTTTTATTGTCTATTTCTCGATAACACACACACAATTCATAAGAGTACTTAAATATCGCCTTCAGATGCTTATAAGCTCACGTCCGTTACCTAATTTTGGTGTGTCCCTTTCAGTACATGTTTTGTCCCTTTCAATACATTCAAATAGCATGAAAGGGACAATATCACACTCAATCAAAAAGTGAAATTACACCAATACCAATTAAAATTAGAAAACCTTGTTATCACTAATAACATCATAAATGTTTGGGTATAATCCTATTAAAAAATTGTTTAAAAAATATCAGTCCCTTGAAATTTTTTTACATTTTTCTTAAAAATGTCCCTTTCAAGCCTCTTTTACCCTACTTAACACGAATATAAAATTATATAATTGGGTATCGATTGCAACAACAAAAAATATAAATGCAATGTTAAAATTAAAAATCATTTATTCTTAAATCCTATGAAACATTAAGTTAACTTTTTTTTCATCTTTGTTAAAGATGAGTCACTACAGAAGGATGTATCCCGAAATATTTTTCAAGTTCTATTTTTATTCTGGATTTTATTTTCAAATTTCTTTTCGTACTCTTCAGTGTTTCTTCAGCAAATGTTTTAATCTCTGAATCTTCATCCAGCTCATCAATGAATTTTTCAAGCTAAAAAATATTTACTATAATAAAAAAACGAATGTCAATCTCAACAAGGTTTTACGTTACTACCCTTTAGGCAAAAAAAATAAGTTAAAGAGTTTATTAAAAGTTGAGAATCGTTTTGTCTGATGGTTGTTTGTACTCATGAACGAGGCCAGCAGAAAAAGAAGCTATTCATTTTAAAAGTGATATCGTTGTCTGTGTCAAAGAAAAGAGAAGAATGGAGAGAATTAGGCATTCCAACGACCTGTCAAACAGTAGGTGCCAGTGGGAAATTCTTGTATACTTAAGGGGGAGGTAGCGACTTAGTCTTGCGACTTGGACGCTATTTTTATTCGAAGTAGTACTCGCCAAGCCTGCCAATTTATGAAGAAATGTATAGATGGATTTTTTAAATATTATTTTTATTGTGTTTGACATAAAATATTTAAATGTAATCCATTATTCAGGATTTTACGTAAAGTAAATAGAATACACCATATGTCGCCACCCTTAGATATACCAAACCTGCCCACTGGTAATTCATTTGTTTGGAATGCCTAATTATGTAAAATTAAAGGAAGGCATTACCAGGGTATATTGGGAAAGTTACCCCACAAGTCATGGTTTAACGAGATCAAAGTAAACAGAAAGACAGCTACGATATTAAATAGGCTTAGGTTAGGCCACTGTGCTACTCCAGAATACCTCCATCGAATAGGAGTATGCTGACTCTCCAAACTGTAGTTGTGGTAAAATAGGTAGTATTCGACATATACTGTTGGAAGGCTCTAATAACAAACATAGTAGTGATAAGTTATATAAACTAATGCTTAAAAACTGCATGAAAAGTAAAATGGCTTTATATGTAGGAGACTTGCTTTCAGTACTTCGCTTTGGTGTAAATTCTTGAAAGACTGCAATATAATAATTTAAGAATTGTTTCAGAACTCTGGAAGAAGTGTTGTCTTAGAGACAGATGCGTGAGAGCGCAGCTTGTTCCATAATTGAAAAACATTTACAAATGGTACTGGGTAAATAATTCAAAAGAGTTAAGCCCAAAGAGAGAAGAAGAAGAAAAAGGAAAGAAGAAGAGAGAAGAAGAAGAAGAAGAAGAAGAAGAAGAAGAAGAAGAAGAAGAAGAAGAAGAAGAAGAAGAAGAAGAAGAAGAAGAAGAAGAAGAAGAAGAATAAGAAGAAGAAGAAGAAGAAGAGAAGAAGAAGAAGAAGAAAGAAGAAGAAGAAGAAAAGAGAGAAGAAGAAGAAGAAAAGAAGAAGAAGAAGAAGAAGAAGAAGAAGAAGAAGAAGAAGAAGAAGAAGAAAGAAGAAGAAGAAGAAGAAGAGAAGAGAATGAAGAAGAAGAAGAAGAAGAAGAAGAAGAAGAGAGACAAAAGAAGAAGAAGAAGAAGAAGAAGATCGTTGTCTGTGTAAAGTACATTTGACGGTTATATTGGACTTTGGATTTGGATAAACGTCATGGCAACATTGCAATTTGAAATGGCGGTCTCCGAATCGGGAGTCCAAAAGTCCAATAAAAATCACAAAATATCTAGTATAAAAGTGACCATTCCGACTTTAAAATTATACTAAAATTTAAAGACTACCGAGGTTGTTTTCCAAATAAGGACGTTAAAAACTGAGTGTAGTTTATTTCCAAACGTAAACAGCTTAAAATTTCAAAAACGAACTGTCCATACTTTACACCCGGGATGACTTTGTGCAACACAACGTTATTACAAATGTTTTTTGAGAACAATTTGACAATTACATTTGCGGAATCTGTGGAGCTGCTAACTATCCTGTGTACAATTCCCATGACCACAGTGGAGAGTGATAGAGTTTTTTCGACACATGACCACAGTGGAGAGTGATAGATGTTTTTCGACACTAAAACGTATTAAAACATTTTTAAAGAACACTATGTGCCAAGAGAGATTGTGCGCGTTAGCCATGTTATCCATCGAAAAAAAACTTTTTCGGTCCATTCCAAATTTTAATAATCTGGTCATCGATCACTTCGCTAGCCAAAAATCCAGAAGAATGGTCTTCAACTATAAGAAATAGTATACAACTGCAACGATACCTAGCAGTTAGTCTTCAATTTAGTAATATTTAATTTGGTTTGAGATATATTTAATTTTCATTAAGCGGATAACTTGTTTTCCTAAGGGAAAAAACGAATCCCGGGATTCCTTTCAAGTGTGTGCCCCACTGCCGCTAGTGCCCACGAGCCGCCTCTGGTTGTGAATAATGAAGCTTTATGGCATGCGCTGTGATGTGCATTATTACCGATTGGCTAATTTAAAGGCAAGACATTGGAATATTAAGTTAGAGCATTATCCCTTTATACTTAGCTCTCACTACGACCCTGGGGTCTTATAAAAGACAATCAATCAACATTATTGGAAAATTTTTAAAACTGCTTTTTCTACATACCTTTTTAACTTGGTCATCTGTTATTAACCGTTCAATTATGTTTGAAAAAACTCCTACAGCGTACTCGTTAGCGCTAGTGAAAAACAGTAATGTTAGTATTAGTAGATCGTATTTTATATAGGATACAGATACGTACTATTTGAAAATAACAGAATGATTTTCCAAAAAATAGTTGAATGCTTTATCCAATCCTATAAAACCATTGCGGTAAACGGAATCCCAGACTATTTCGAATTCGAACGGTGTAAGAATGTTTATCGAGGCATCTAAGTAACTAAAAATTAAAATTACTTATATACGGGGTGTTGTTTAAACATGCGGAAAAAATTCAAGGGGTTGTTTCTTGGACTATTCTAAGAATATTTTGTTCTATGATTTTTAAAATTCCGTTTCTTTTAGGAGATACACAACATTTTCGAGAAAACTATTTTAATATTTTTAAAATTAATATTAGTCTAAATAACAATAGGTACTACACCGTGTTAACCAAGTACATACAAATTTTTTAAAAATTCGATATTTTTATTATTTTTTAACATCATTTAAATTACTAAAGACGGCTTATTTTTTCCACTTACCAAAACGGATTTTCAAAAATCGTCAAAGGACAGAATATTCTTAGACTAGTCCAAGGAACAATCTCTTGAATTTTTACCGAATGTTTAAAAAACACCTGTATATATAGGGTTGAGCAAAATTGGCGAAGCACCCGATTTGTGGCTCAATTAATAATTTTACTGAAAATTGAGTGCAATAAATTTTTTTATTTTTTATTTTATGCACTATTTAATGACGCTTGGAGATTTTCATCATCTGACATATTTATTAAGATATGACGTCATCGGATGAAATTTTAAATAAATCACCCTGTATTTTTTCAGATATATCTTTTCTTTCTGAATTCATAAATAAGGGGTTCGGATGGTCTCTAACTTGCCTTATCATAAAAAAATAATCAAACAAGAAGAACCAAAAACTTTAGTTCCAAAGCTGACGTTAGACAATAATATGAGCGAGAGATTTCTAAAAGTACTTTTGGACGGTCAGATCAGTTCTCCGTTCAGTCTCAGTTTCAGTCGAACTGACAGTTATCTGTATGTGTGAACACAAAAACTGTAAGAAAAACTGATAAGGAGCTGACATCAAAAGTCATCGTATCAGTTGTCAGTTAAACGGATGTACCAGGTCTTCAACAATACCCGAAACCCACGTGATCTGATAACCATCAAAAACCCATCGAAAGGGCCTGATTTGACGTAACAGGAACTAAATTGAACTGTCAATCCTGTCAGAAATGTCACTGGCGTTCATTTTGGGACTGACAATATTTATATTATATTTGTTTACATTTTATAAACACCCTTAGTCCATTTTTCATTTAATATTAATAAAGCAATTAGTTATTTTTAGAGAAAATTGGTGGCTTCTTTTTTGTTGGTAAGTACAAATTTATTTACTGTAACTCCTAAAAGTTAATGACTATATAATTTATTGTAGGTAATGTTATACTGGAACAAAATTATTCGAAAATTTGAGGAACGTTTTCCAGGTGAATAAATGGAATGTGATTCTTTTTTGTCGTCATAAACAAATACTTGTTCAAAAAAGGAAAAAGGTCTAAAATTCCCAATAAATTAGTAAAAAAACAGCACCTCAAACAGGTATGAACGGTGTTTTAAAGACTGACTCTGGCGAGTGAAATTCAAAACATATTTTTTTTTAGGTTCATCACTACCAACTAGCCATAAAGTTAAAAAAAATTCTGATAATGCATCCCCTATAAAGTTTCGGTACTGCAACAATCATTTTACCTTAATTTTGTTAAAACTACATATGAAATATTACAGATCGCTCAATTCAAAATCGTTTGTGACGTTTATGAATTGGAGCCCCTATATTGAATGATATACAAAATATAACTGAGGAGAACCTGCATAATGTGTTCAAAAAAGAAGGTTTAATGCTTGCATTAAAGCTGGTGATTAAGATTTTGAACAGATAGGTACTGTGCACCACCGATTACTACTCAATATCCTTTTAAATAAAATAGTTGTTAATAGATATGCCTTTATAATTTAAAGTGAGAATTAAGAGCTGTAAGGTAAAACAAATATGTTATATTAATAATATTAATATTTTTTTGTATGCATATAAGTAACAATGTATTTTGTAAATGGTTTAAACCCTGTAACAAATAAATAATAGAACAAACCTTAAATTATGTGTTTATTACTTCCCATTATCCAGGTTCAATTCCAGTAAGTTTTAAATTTGTTTACTTAAATTGCAATCATTGCCAAATACTGCCATTGTCTTCTGCCTATCGTATTTAGAGTTTCAGCTGTAGCTAAATATCTTAGGACCGATTCCACCGTTGTGTTAAACGAAGTTTTAAAATGACATTTTTTACATTAACAATGTCATTTTAATCTCCGTTTAACACATAGGTGGAATCAGCCCTTAAAGAGTCAATCTAAAGTAAATAATTTTTAATTTTATTCATATTTTAATGCATAACATTTTTATCCATAACTTTTTGTGCCCTGTTCTGGTAAAGGTTTTTTTTTGTAGTAGTGACAATAACTAGTACGAACCATATTTCAGTTTAATATTCTTTTCGTTAAATACAAACTAGATATAAATAGCTCAGTTTTTAAGGTTATGTTATTTATATCACAATTTTAAAAATTAGATTATTGAATTTGATTAAATCTAATTAAAATATCGAATTCTAACATTAAAATACATAATGTAAAGCACCTCTAATTAATATTATGAATTTGTGTTGTAATTCTAACAGTTACCTAGCTGAATTTTGTTCTCGTAGTTGCAGACCATAAAAAAGAAGATCTTTTTGTAATAAAATACCTACGGCACTGGCTCAAATTTAGGGATTTTTACTTTTATTTTCACCAATCGCTGTCATGACGATTTGGTCACGTGGGTTTTCGGTATTGTTGAAGACCCAGTATAAACAAACCTGTCGATCAGGTTTTAGTCGCATAAAATTATCGCTAGAAGTAGTGTGTACCTTGCGTCATGGCAAACCATGACTTTATTAGTGAGTTTATAGAACTTTATCAGCAACCCCCATGCTTGTGGAACAAAAGAGATCCGCAATACCACAACATAAACAAAAGACAAGCTGCGTATGTTTTGGTTGAAAAAGTCAAAGAGCAATGCAACTATAAAAACAGTAAAAGCGAAAATAAACAATTTACGATCAGCGTATAATAAAGAACGAAAAAAGGTTAAAAAGGCTACTAAAGGCGGAGCCAAAGAATACCTTCCCAAGAAGCGAAACTAAATGAGTATTCGTATGTACTAAAACATGGGAACTTAATACACTGGGAAACGTATGAAAATTAATCAATTTTTGTCGTTTGGTTCATAAGAATTGAACACATACTAAAGTAACAATGACATACAGAAAAATTGTTACAATAGATTATTTTAATAACAAAATAGGTATCATTATTGTATCTACAAATAATGATACTCACTACACAATAGCGTAGGCAAATAACCTGGTCATTCTGCAAATAAGGAATTTTGAGACATAAGTGAATAAATGTATCATGTCACATTTTTTAAAAAAATGATTTGTATGGCCTATTTTTTGTTTGTCATAGTTCTAATTTCCAATTTTGACAAATAACGGCTATTTATCAAATAGGAAGGCGTCATGAGCCATATATCGTAATGCAATTGTAAAACTTTAAACTTGATTTTCTCGAAATAATCTTTTTGTGACTTTACACCTTTATCCACTCGTGTCTTTAATTATGGAACAGTAGTTCAAGGATTATTCACTGTCTATCAATCCCAAGAAGACAGATATGGTCGTTTTCACAAGGAAAAGGAAGAAAATGGAATTAGAACCCTTGAAGCTCCTAAACATAAAACAAAACTTTGCAACAGAGGTGAAGTACCTAGGTAGCTCCTTTGATAACAAGTTAACATGGAACTCACACTTGAAAAATAGAATCAAAACATCATACATTGCTTATGAACAATGCCGCCGAACAGTGGGGCGTACCTGGGATTTCTCTCCCAGTCGTTACATAGACTTACATGGCTAACATGAGACCTATGCTAACATACGATGCAGTTGTCTGGGTACCGAAAATCTAAAAATTGACAGCTATTCGCAAACTAGAACAAATTCAAATAATAGCATGTCTCAACATAACAGCAGCCATGAATACCACACCAACCGGAGCCACGCAAGTCGTTCTTAGTCTTACTCCCCTTGATATTTACATCAAGAAGGTTGCTCCGATGATAATGACACTCCTCTGCACAGGTGGAATAGAAACTGATGTTTAAAATAGAAGAGCCAGAAGTGGCAGCTACGATTCATATCTACACCCACAGTTCTAAAACAAAACAAGACTCAGGATATAGAATATACTCCAATTCCTTGAACCTCAACATAAAATGGGATGTGAGCAATGTAGCTTAAACCGAGCTCACGGAGATTGTCATAGCAGCAAAATAAATCACCAGAAATAATATCACTAGTAGGAACAAGCTCATCTATACAGATAGCAGATAATCACTACTTACCCTAAACATACTACGAATTTACTAAGGGTTAGTACTAGAATGTCACGAAGCTTTGGCAAAAGTATATCCATCAATGATGATGAAAATTTCCAAGCGTCATTAAGTAGTGCATAACATATACAAAAAAATTTCAATACAATCCATAAAGCCACAAATCGGGTTTCCCGCCCATTTTGTCCAACCCTGTATACAGATGTATCGCAAAAATGTTTTTATTATTGATTTCTCATAAAATTATATTCTTGATAAAACTTGGTGCATAACCTAAAACTCAATATAAAATTCATATCAAAAATAAGTGAATTTGGTTTAAGAATAAAATACAATAATTATTAAAAATAAGGAAAAATGTTACTCAAAAAATCAAGAAATATATTACAGCTATCTATCTTTTTGTTTTTTAATATTTTGTTAGTGGTTCAAAAAAATACGTACAACGTCAAAAGATCCTTATTTGTTGTGCATCCAAGGCTAGTCAAAATGTATATTCTCTCATGAGGTTGATCTGTTGTAAGGAATCTGTTCCATAAGAATTTCCAATCAGTAGCGTCACCATTATTATACCTCAATGCGTTGCAGTATACAACTTGCCTTATATTAGGATTGATACTGAAAACCGTTAAACAAAATTAAAGAAAGGCATATACGTTACATTTTTAGCTAATCCTTTTCTACAGTAGTCAATACCATCTTCTTGTGACGGTATACTAAATAGTTATTGACAATACGTAGCTTAAAAATGTAGAAGAAGAAACCTTGTTCTTTCTTAAAGTTTATGAAATATACGGCGTAAATACAGCCTTTTATGTTAATTATAATGCTAGATGTTTATTTTATTAAATAATAAGAAAATATTTATTTTAACTTTTCCCTAACATTTATATTCTCTGCATTTATTAGTACACGTCACGAGACATAACATTTTAAACTTTAATAATAATTTTTGCACCATCCAGTAATATTTATACTAAATAGCAAAATTTTATTAAACTAAATTGTAAATTGTTCTTTTTAACTAATGATCTAGATCCATTCTATCATCATCATCACCAAACTCACCTCTTACTCTTGTTTCTAAATTCCCCAAACAACCTTCTAGTTTCTGATACACAATCCTTTTGACCAGTTTGACAGGCTGCCAACCAAATAACCGGCAGCTTTAAACTAGAAACATGGTCTATCGTATCCCAATTTATTAAAGAAACATTATTAGCAACTCCATGAATCAGATCTAGTAAAACATGATCAATATGTCCAATTAATTGAGAATTGTCTTCAAATTTCACTTTTATATCGTTGAATCCTCTAATAGCTGCATCCCATGGATAGTATGAGGTTTCGTTCTTCAGAAATTTAATGATTTTGAATAGATCTATATAGGTGATTTGACCTGCCATGGCTAAATTGAAGGTATCGTCAACTATTTGAGCTCTATCTAGGTCTGTAAACTGTAACGCATTTGTTTTTAGAGCCTTTGTTAGTCTGTTGTAGAGAACGTCGTCGTATTTGACTCTATAGTATCCTGAAATCAATTATTTTTTATGTATAGGTCGAGAGCAGCCTTTGATACTGTAAAAAAATATGAAAGGTTTTGAAAGGCTTGTAAGTACCGACAGATCTAATTCATATAATTATTTAAACCACATATAAAACTCTTAAGGTAAGAGCATATGAATATAACAGTTATAAAAAATATTAGTTCTGTCATAAATAATTACTCTTTCAAACCCGATATGTAAAATCATTAGATCGTACCTCTAGAATTATGATTTACAACAATCCATCCATCATTATCTATAACGCTTTTAATTGTAACGTTACTATGTGGTTTTAACCAAACTGTTTCAACAGTACCACAATTTGAAGACAAATACGTAACTGGTACGTACCACTGGTCGTTCGATTCGCCATCATACAAGAAACGTTTCTGAAATCATCAAAACTGTTTTCAATAAAAAAATGATATAAAAATGGATCCATTGTGCAACCTGTCATTTCTACCATATACGTCATGTGCTAACTCAAACACAATGAGGTTGAATACTATGGAGATGACATGCCAAAAACAAAACGACACCCCTTCCCCCTCTCTTAGTAGTCATGTCATAGTTGTCAAAGAGCTGTCAGAACTTTGTTAAAATTTAAATATTTCGACGTTATTTCTATCTTAATAAGTGTTTTTTTTTTATTAATTTGTAAATCATGACTAAGTGTGCCAAAATTAATTGTAAAAACTCTTCAGTGAAAGAGCGTAAAAAAATATCTAATTTAAGTTTTCATAAGTAAGTATAAGGAGTGTATTTAGAATTTTTTTTAGAATGCTTAACTTTTTTTTATTGTAGGTTTCCAAAAGACCCACAATATCTCAAAATTTGGTCTAAATTTGTGGGAAAAGACCAATTTGAGCCTAAACCGAATAGCATGTTGTGCTCTATTTACTTCAAGGAATAATTTTTTGATAAGAGTGAGTTTAGGGTCAGATTGAAGAAGAATGCTGTTCCGACAATAAATGAATGTTTAGTAAATATACACTTTATTTACAATAAAACTTAAATAACTAACTTAATAAAGAACATTTGCTTGACTAACTTTATAATAAAGACAAATAACTGTATTAAAACATAGATAACTATAATAAAATTTACATAACTAACTTTATAATTAAACTTAAAAACCAACTATAATTAAACTTAAAAACCAACTTATAATTAAACTTAAAAACCAACTTATAATTAAACTTAAAAAACAACTTATAATTACACTTAAATGACTAACTTTTTAAGTAACATATAATTTAGAATAAAATTTCAAGTACTTAAGAGCAGTTTTTATTAGATCCTAATTTCCTATTATTATACCGTTTTGATAATGAATATACTGTATAATAATAAATACTGGTGATGTATTTTTATTAATTAATTAGATTTGTGGCCATCACTCACTGCTATGTACCTCCTCATCCTCATGATATAAAATAATATGCCCGCTCATGTACCACATTACAATTATTATTAATATTAAATGAACAAACATTAAATTGATGTTCCTTAATTTAAAAACCTGCCGACTTTGTTCACAATACACAATAAATATAATTTAAAGGTCAATCAATATTTTTTTAAATAATAAAAAATGTTTTGTAGTGTCTTATTAAGAATGGGACAGAAAAACTGAAGAGTTACCTATAATTTTACCAAATTTGGCAAAAGTTTTTGGTGTCATAAGATACGTTACACTTATTTGAACTATAATTATATATTTTTAGATGTTTTTTAAGTAAATCATATAGGTACTTTTGTTGGGAACTTATAAGAAACTTCAAAATTAAAATGAAGAATATTCGCATTCTAAGCATAGTCTTATTTTTATTCAGACTCTTCAGTTGTTCTGTATCCCTTTCTCAATGAGACACCTTGTATATAAACTTCCCACTTGAACAATTTTATATTTTTCAAGTATGTACAATACAGGTGTATCAGAAATTAAAGCAAAAGGACAACTTATAACAAAGATTTAAATTTAGTAATGTCAAGTCATCCTTGCACCCTAAAAAAGTACCAATGAAGAAATTATTCCTCCAATGCAACCAAACAGTTATTTTTAGGATAAGATTTTGTGTCAAATGTTATCCACAGCCACAGGGTTTCTTTTTAAATGGCATGACATTCAAAATTTTGGTCAAAACAATTTTCATCATGCACTCTTCTTGGAAATTCACAATGCTTTATTAGGATTAAAAACACCAGTTTCTTGATGAGAAAAAGTGGTTAAAGTTTTCTTTTTGTAATCACAAATCGCAACTGAATGCCTATTTTTAAAATAAATTATCTCTATAATTCCATTTGTATAGTTGTATGCTGTGCATCTGTGAGATTGTTGTTTATTATACATAGGTACCAATTATAGAAATCTTTAGTAAGTACTTGCTTGCAATTTTAGTAATATATGTACCTACCCTATATAATTAATTATTTCAAACAAAAATAAAACCAACAACTATTATCTGAGTCTTTTTAGTTCCGATTGGTTTTGACAGAGTAGTTTTGATCATGGTTTTCTTCTATCTACTTTTAACCATAAAGTCATACCTAGCTGAATTTTTGGTCTTTTTAAACTTTTGTAGCGGGTCATATTTTTAATGTATGTCATCTGCAGCAGAAAGACCTACATGTTTTACATTTAAAAGTAATTAATTGTCCTTTCTACAAACTCGGCTGTATTTTTACTGAAATATTTATTCACAATTCACGTAGTGGTTTGGTTTTCGGTTTGGTAATTTGATGTCATAATTCTCCTCATTGGCAGATTTTGACATTGGCAGCTTTGACCAAGACAAGAGAGTCCTTGAACGAAAAATCGTAGTTCGGGTTTTAGTTTTAAAGCACAAAGAGATTAACAAATCTGATGCACAGTGTTATTCGAACGTTGATTTTCGATCACACAGGTCATATATCGGACGGTTTCGGCGAAGACAGAACAATATAATAATATTAATCTCTTTTATGGTCTTGGCATTGGCTTGGTCGGAACACGGTTAATAAATAATAGTAAATAGTGTAGAAGTCATAATTGCGCAATGTCATCAAATTAATTTCGAATCGATCATTTTGAAACAAATCTTAGGTAAGTAAGTCATTTAAAAGTTGTAATTCTGCATACGGACTTTAATTATATTTGAATACGACCCTGCTTAGTTAACCATTTAAGCCACGCCCAGTGGGGTCATTTTTAATAAAACGTATCATATGCAAAACAATTGCCTCATGTCATCTCCATTAGTATTATACCTCCATGCTCAAACAGTAATACCAAATACCCCTCAATTCCCTATTTTGTTTTCGTAGAAGTCAGCTGTCATGGCGCCTGTCAATGTTAACTGTGAAGTGCGTCTCTGTGAACTCAAAAAGTGATAATACCCCAATTTTGCTTTAGTAGAAGATCAGCTGTCATGTCACCAGTCAACGTTAACTATTATATCGTCTGTCAGTTGAGCTTTTCGAATGTCTCCCGTATATTCCTAGTTCACGTGAATACATGTTAATGACCATTTTGGGTAGAAGCAGCATAGCTGCACTATTTATGCTATAATGTTTATTTATAATACCTGTGTCAAAATAACATCGTTACCATTTGAAACAGCAGTTACAAGTGGAAAACCACCTTTATTGGTCCAATTGGTGATAAATTCAGAAAAAGTGAGATTTTCGGGTAATGTTCTTTTTTTGATAAAACTGCCTAGGGAATCCCAAAGTTTTTCAGGCGTGGTAACATCAAAAGCACTAAAAAAATATTAATGTTTTCTGACTACATTAGCCTTGTAGTTATCTATAGCTATCAAACTGAATTAATGAGGCATTCCAAACAAAATAGGATTTTGACAGGTTATGATGTGGTTATGATATGGCAACCTTGCGAGCCTGGTGATTTGACAGGGTCGATGATATAGATTGATCATCAATGTTTTTCAAAATAAACATAAGCTTATGCCTCAAAGTAAAAGTATAGGTAATTTTTGTATATTCAAAGGCTAAAAACTGGTTTTAAAACACATTTTTGCTAAACTCATTCTGATTAATGAGCACTTGCGAGGCAATATAACCGCTCGCAAAGCGACTCACTTTGAGCAATCTATATAACTATATATCTTATCATTGATCTTGTCAATGATAGTATCAATAGATATCAATAGGTGTCAGCGGGTATCAACAGGAATCAATATGTATCAATAGGTATCAATAGGTTTCAATATGTATCAATATGTATCAATAGGTATCAATAGGTATCAATAGGTATCAATAGGTATCAATAGGTATCAATAGGTATCAATAGGTATCTACAGGTATCTAGAGGTATCTGCAGGTATCTACAGGTATCTAGAGGTATCTAGAGGTATCTACAGGTATCTACAGGTATCTACAGGTATCTACAGGTATCTACAGGTATCTACAGGTATCTACAGGTATCTACAGGTATCTACAGGTATCTACAGGTATCTACAGGTATCTACAGGTATCTACAGGTATCTACAGGTATATACAGGTATATACAGGTATCTACAGGTATCTACAGGTATCTACAGGTATCTACAGGTATCTACAGGTATCTACAGGTATCTACAGGTATCTATAGGTATCTATAAGTATCTAGGTATCTATAGGTATTTATATGTATTTATATACGTATATATAAGTATCTACAGGTATTTACAGGTATCTACAAGCATCTACAGATATCTACAGATATCTACAGATATCTACAGATATCTACAGATATCTACAGATATCTACAGATATCTACAGATATCTACAGATATCTACAGATATCTACAGATATCTACAGATATCTACAGATATCTACAGATATCTACAGATATCTACAGATATCTACAGATATTTACAGATATTTACAGATATCTACAGGTATCTACAGATATCTACAGATATCTACAGATATCTACAGATATCTACAGATACCTACAGGTATCTATAGGTATCTATAAGTATCAGGTATCTATAGTTAACTACAGGTATCTTTCTAAAGGTATATTTATGTATCTATAGGTATCTATATTTAAAAATAAAATAAACAATTTAAATAAATACTTACTTTTTCTTGAGATATACACGTAGACTTTTTTTAAAGTTATTCGGTCCTATGACATTCTCTATCATTTTGATAACGCTAGCTCCTAAAATATATATTAAAGTGATTAAATTAAGACATTAATATGTTGCCTTATCGCGTTCTGAGTAGACTTTGTTACTTTTTCCCAGCTCCTCTTTATAAGTTGCACATTTAGTTAGAACCCAACACCCAACAAACCAAACCTAGTAAATATTTATAGTTATTAATTATTAATAGTGGATAGTAATAGTTATGAACTATTATTAGTGGGTATTATTAGATAATAATAGTCCATATTAATAGTCATTATATACTAATAAGAAATATTAATTAATAATAGTGGATATTAATAGTTAGTAATTATTAATAGTCGATAGTAGTAGATTAAAAATTATTAACTAAACATTTTTAGTTAATAATTATTACTGGTAGATATTATATACTAATAATGAATATTATTAGTTAATAATAAATTTATTATTAGTGGATATTAAAGGTTATTAAATATGAATAGTAAATATTAATTGTTATTTATTATCAAAAGTGGATATTAAGAGTTATTAATTATTAATAGTCGATATTATTAGTTATTAAATATTGATATTTGATATTGATAGTTATTAATTATTAATAGTGGATATTAATAGTCATTATTTATTAATAGTGAATATTAAGAATTATTAGTTAATAGTGGATATTAATGGTTATTAATTAATAATAGTTGGAATAAAAATAGTTAATAAAAGCGTATATTAATAATTACTACCTTTACTGTATGAAATCGTTCCAAATTTATCCTCAATCTCATCCACAGTGGATACATCAGAAGTCAAAGCAGAAGAATCGATATGCGCATCTTCTACAAACGCGACTTGCTGTTGTTTTATAATGAGCTGTTTTTCCATTTCTAAATATTCCAAACCTATCTTCAAAATATCTATAATTATTTTTTAACCAGTGCTTACTTTTAGATTGTGTTTTAATAACTGAAATTCTTACCAGGTTCAAAAGATAATGTTGGAAATAAGTAGCAAATCCTTCGTTCAGAAATAGAGTGTCCCACCAACTGGTAGTGACCAAGTTACCAAACCATTGATGAGACAATTCATGAGCTATTGTTTCAACACTTGCTTGTGTCAATTCGCTGGAAGCCTCAGCTTTATTCCACAAGAGCATAAATTCACTAAAAAATATCATTTTGTTAATAAGAAAATACAAATATAATACAGGTAATATAACATGTAATATACATAAAATAGAATATAGATATTATAACTAAGGTCGAATATAAATAGAACTAGGTCACTATCTAACTGAGAAGTTACAAAAACACCGCTCATATTTAAGTGGCATGGCCCCGGTCACCGTTAGGACGTGTAATCAAGCTTATAGACCTTAGTGCCTATGTATACGGTAAAATATATACATTAAATGAAAAGGAATGAGTAGGGCAACCAAATGGTAGCACACTGCGCACATGGGAAGTCTCCTTATGGGGAGAATGGACCCGACAGCAGAGGGATGCCTTAAAGAGTGGAGAAAGAAAGGATTGATAAGAGAATATATAAAATAGAATAAAAATAAGACAATATAAATTATCGAAATAATAAGATAAGATAGTATATAAATGAGATAAAACTGAATGTAGATAAGGTTAATATTATTCGATAAGAAAGAATATAGGTAAGATAATTTAAAATATATCTAGATACGATACAATTTTAAGATAAAATAGAATATAAACAAGATAAAATAAGATAGATACATATTAAATTAGTAAATATAAAATTAATACTGCACTGGTATGTCACGAATCCCCAATTCTCCATGGCCAGTTCCGTTATTCCTGGTATGGCAAATTGGTCCAATTTGGAATTTCCCTCACTGTAATTGAAGTTGGTCCATGAGTTCATTGCATTGATGAGTTTCAATCCGTGGTTTAAAGCAAAAGATCTGTCATCGACGAATTTGTCTCGGGAACATACTTTAAGGGAAACATTTCCGTCAGATTTCGAACATGTCAGCTTTGAAACCGAAAATGCCAGTAGATACGTTGACATTTTTTGTGTTTCTTGGAATACAGTGATTTTTGTATTATTTCTAAAAAATGCAGTAACAATTACATAATATAAATAAAAAATCTATTAAAAATGGTAATTTGTTAATACAGGTTTGAGAATTATTCCCTGAGGTACACCACCCAAATAAATAATCAATGAAATATGGGGATGATTCAGAAGTGATGCTTTGGGACTAAGATTGGGTGTTTTTTTTATGGGATAAAGGTAACTCATTTCACACCCAGGGGTTCGATTCTCGACTTTTATTCCCATGGGAAAATAAAATTTTCCCATGGGAATTCAGTTTTCGTATTCTCGGCATAAGCGGTGGAATATTTTCCAATGAGAAGTATGGGAAAATATTCCCCTGCTTACGAGCATTGGAAATTGTGTTTTCCAATGGGAATTGTACTAGAGTTTGCGCATTAAAGTCGAAAATTTGACGAAAGACCACGCGAAAGACTAAGACATAACGAAAGATTATTGGATATCTTGGATTTTTGGTGAAATTGTAGTTAAAACATTTTTTTTGTCTATTTATAAATTGATATTATTTTATTTATGTGGGTATATTATTTTTACCTCTCTTTCACTAAGAAACTGATTTTCTTAAATTAGTTAGAAATTGTGGGAGCTGCTAAGGGACTGGCAAATAGGTAACACAAATTGAGAAATTTGTAGTAAATTTAATAAGACCTATTCGAAAATTTTATTATTTCCGTTAACGAAAGAATTTCTTATATATATAGTTTCTCGAAACTTTCGTTGCTCTTCTATACAGAAGCTACTTTTTCTTTTTTCAATATGTGAAAAGAAAAACTAAAAATAGCTCGATAAGTTTTAATTATACGTAATCGAATATTTTCACTTGTCCTCGGTCAAGCTAGCGATTGCTCGGCACGGCATCTGCAACAACGCAGAGGCTCGGCAGGTAATCAGTTACCCAAAAACCACAACAAATACAAATAATACCAACAGTAAATTTTAAAATATCTTTAATGTTATTGGTTATTTCGAAATATTCGTGAACTTAATATCAGACATACGTGAAACTATTATTTCCATGGGAATGTCTATTCCGACAAGTTCGAGAATTGCATAACCTATTACCATGGGAATATAAGTAGTGGAATCTTTTCCCATGGGAAAATTTTCCAATGAACTCGAGAATCGAGCCCCAGGGGTAATTCAGGGTGACTTTATTACACTGGGGAAGGTAGACCTCGGAAAGAAAGGAATACAGGTTTATAAATACAGGATAGATTGGGTGGTTAAAAGTCATTTTACTTACCTAACAATTGTTTCCTTTTCAGGTCTGTTAGACATAGCCGTGTACCCAACGGGATAAGAAATTTTCAAAATGAACGTAGCTTTGTACAGGGGTTCATCAAAACACGGGAAAGCATATCTGGCATAAGTAGGTTGAAACTGAGTGGCAATCAAATATTTAGTACGTCTATCTTCAGTATATTTAATCCTTGATACTCCTTTGATGATATCAGTCATTAAATCACCACTGTAGCAAATGATTAAACTATAATTACCAGAAATGACTAATTTATTTTTGAAAACAATCATTAATATTTCTGTGGTAGTATTTTTTAAATACTTCAATGCTGGTATAATTTTATCATTGTCTGTTAAAGTAATATTCCAAATCCGTACAAATCCATTCAAATAAATTGTATCACTTGGTTTGGTTACTGTAAACAGTATTTTAACGAACCCCTTGAAAGTGACGTTTTTGCCGTTTAAAGCGTCTTCAGGTATTTCTATATCGATGTAATACTTTGATGGTATAGTGGTGTTAGGTAACCGATATGATGTGTTGGTTAGATTCTTCGATGGTACTGTACCTGTTTGATATGGATGGGCAGAAATGGTTAATAAAGTTGATAGAAATGCTAAAATAATTATATTGAATCTGAAAAATTAAATGTACATAAAATAAATAAATAAATATATTGACGGGTTTAGATTTGTAACAGCTGGTGTAGCTTTGTACTACGCAAGATGCAAGATGTCACCTGTTACCTACAACTGGTATAGGAACCTTAGTTTGAATCTTAAGTCCTTTAGATTTCCACTAATGAATATATTATTAATAATAATAAAAATACCTATTATTATAGTTTATTAACATTATTTTTTTCATTGTTAAATTGTAATATACAGGGTAGCACCAACTGTCTACGTAAAAAAAGGTCATCATCAGGCAAAATTTTTTTTGTAAGTGAGGTAGGTAGGTACAATCTGCAATAATAATTTAGGATAACAAAACGTTTTTATAGAAATGCTAGGTGTCTTACCACTATGTGTCCACAGAAAAAATTTAGTATGATGAATTAAAAAATTTTAAATTGTAAAAATTGTTGTAAAAAATTGGCACGTACTGCCTCCCTCATTCGAGGTTGGATACTGTTCAATCTTAAACCTCGCCTGCCTCCATCTAATGAAGGTGGTTTCGAAAGAGATCAATTTTAAAGTTCCACATGTGTGCTTAAGGCACCATGTGGAAAGTGTTACTTTTGGGGAAATACCGCTACTCCCCCTATCCCCAGTACAAATGGGGTAGACGGAGTTCGGTTTGTGTATACTGTACACCCTTAAGCCTAGGCTTAAGGGGTATCATTAATTATTAACTTGACTTTACTTAGAAAAATTCACTTGGCACTTTCGTCATTCAACGGTGAAGTTAAATGAGAAAATGGTGGAGAATTTACGACATTTGACAACTGACATATGATGGAAGACACGTAGTTACAATTATGGTTGGGCTAATAATAATTAAATTTGACATTAGTTAAATTGAATATGTTAAATTAGTTTTGTGACAAATTTTATAGTATAAATTTAAACAATTTGACAGGATGTCCAAGACTTTGGAGAGGCCACGAATAAATTATGTTGGTGTTATGAAGTTAGAGTGACATTTAATTTAAAAAAAAAAAAAAAGAATTTGACATTAGATTTTTTAAAAAAGGGGGCTATTATATATATTATTACAAGTAAAAAGTTGAAGGATTTACAAAGGATTTGGGAAACTTGTGAGGATGATGGGATTCATTGTAGTTGTTGAATTGAAAAACTAGAAGGTTAATCTGGAAAAGATAGGCTTATATGTAGGTTGTAATTGATCATTTAAACAAAGCACATCTGGGTTATTAATATGTTGATGAATGTAATACATTTCAAGTAAGTCCAGCTTAATGCCTTTGGGGTATTGGATAAGAAGAGAGGCGTTATCTGGAAAAGTGAAGTTATGTTTAGTATAGAGAACATGATTAGCAAATGCGGAATTGGTATCTGAAATATTCGAGGATTTATATCTGTTGATGGTTCTGTAATGTTCTAAAATTTGGGTTTCTGTCTTTCTTCCTGACTGGCCGACGTAGATTTTTAGAGCCAAAATGGTGCGCAATTACAAAAGAAAAACGAATAAAGGCCAAAGTTATACCCCTCAAGACCTCCAAAGAGACTGATATTGAAAGAGGCTTCAAAAATATATTTTATTCCAAAAGCGACCATAACTGACTATGTTAAAAACAAAAGGGGTGTGAAGTCAAAAACATTTGGGAGACCGATAGCTTTATCTTCAAACACTTAAGATCAATTGGGTAGACTCATTAAACTAATGGAAAAGTACGGCTACGGCTTGTCAAAGAAAAACGTTTTATAACTGGTGAGCGATTACAAAATTAAAGAAAAGATCCTAAACGCGTTTAAGAATAACTCTTCTGGAGAAGAGTGGTGTCAGGTTTAAAAAAAAGACAACGCTTAAGCATTAAAAAACTGCAAAATGTGGAAGTTGCCCGAAAAAAAGCTCAAGATCCTTTTGTCATATTCAATTATTTTGACCAACTAAAACTAACTTTGGAAGAACTCAATATTGAATCAAAAAATGTTTGGAACCTTGATGAATCGGCATTTAGTCACGATCCGTCTAAAACTAAAATAGTATGACAACCAATGGGTTCCTAATGAAGATGAAGGATTTCCCGGTTCAACATTTGCCGCTACTTAAAATGGCTGGATGGAGTCTTCTGTATTCCTGAATTATTTTGAACATTCCTTTGTAAAAGCAGCAAAGACGTCCCCTAGTAATCCCGTTCTTCTCATCTACGATGGTCATGCAACTCACATTGGTTTAAAATTAGTGGAATTGGCTGCAAAAAACCACGTGACAATTATTTTACTACCTCCTCATTCAAGCCATTTACTTCAGCCCCTCGATCTCGCAGTTTTTAAGTCCATTAAATCATCGTGGGATGAGTATCTCTGCAAAAGGATGAGACAACAAGGCTGTCAGAAAATTTCTAAACGATCAATGACGATAAAAATAGGAGAACTATGGAAAAACTTCGATACGGACATTAAAAATGGATTCAGGAAAGCTGGCATCTTTCCGTTTAATAAATATATCATTCCTGAAGAAAATTTTGACCAACTATCTTTGGAACGATGGAAATCATTGCAGCTCGAAACTGATCAAATGGCAGCCCCCGAATTGGACCAAGTTGCAGCACCCGAAATGGACAAAGTTGAAGCATCCGAAATTGATCATCTCTTACCACCTATAACTAATATGGAAACAGACAAAAATGACCAGGTTAAAGCCGTCGAAAATCATGACGCTACCTCATCGGGAAGCAACCTAGAGCAGGTGCAGAACTCTCTCAATACTTTCGAAAAATTTCGTCCCATAATCAGAGAGGTCCGCCAGCTAAGAAAACCAAAGTTTGTTAAGTGCCAAAAGTCATTACATCTCAGGAGTGTATGAAAATTTTGAAAAACAAGGAGGATGCCAAAAATCAAAAGAAAGCTATGAAAGAAAACAAAGAAAACCGACAAAAAACAAAAAAGGAACAGAAAGCCAAGAATAAAAAAGTTTGAATTGTCATCATCCTCTGATAAGGAAGAACTGCCATTTAATGTGTGCATTAATGAATCTGATGAAGATTTTGAAGAAGAAATATCTACTGAAACAGGGCTTGAAATAGACGACCTACCAATCAATCTCGAGACAGAATTGGAAATTAGTGATCCCGAAAACAATCTGGTTCCATTCTTAAAACCAAACGAATCAATAACTTTGGAAGTTACAGAAACTGGTATTTGTTTAAAACAGTTGATCAAGTTCCTTACTCCAATAATACAGAAGATCCTTCTCAATATTCGGTTGTGCCAAGAAAACCAGGGGATTTCGTTCTAGTCAAGTATGAATCTACCAAAAAAACTGTGAAACTTTACTTAGGAGCAATCAAAGAAATATATGATTCAGAAGAGTGTTGTGTTAAATATTTACGCTCTGTAGATAAAGAGAAGAAGACTTTCAAGTTCCATAAGACTGATCAAGACACCGTCCCAATGCATGAGATTATAAATACAGATGTTCCGGACTTTGAGATGGATTCTAAAGGCCGCTATGTATTTAAGGACTCTGTGCCAGTCGTAGAATAAATATTTGTTATTTTGTATTCTAAATGTTTTCTAAAAGTTTATGTTTAATAATTTTTCTAATAAAATCTTAAGATTTAAAACCAAAATATTAATTTTCCTAATATTACAGATAATTAAGTTTTGCAGAAACAGACCGATTCGAAATTTTACTTATTTTTTGCTTTTTCCTCGGATAATCATCATAAGCATCTAAATAGAAAGAAAGAAAGAGGTCTGAAATGTAGGTACTTGCCCCATAAACTGGGGTAAGTGTATTTCTGTGAGATTGCGACCAATTTATTTATTTTTTTTTTTGTAATAAATACAAATTCTCAGGTAAAAATACTTTCGGATTATCATTACTTAAGGTTGTAAAAATATTAGTATGCTTAAAAAACTATATAGTACGATGATCTCTAGTTTTTATCTTGATTTTAAAGTCAACTTTGAAATTGAAGGTAAGCGCTTCCCCGAGTTGACCTTAACTCATATAGGGCTCAAAAAGTTAATATACAAAAATGTAATGATTTAATCCATCAATTTTCACTCGAACTAACTCCTTTATAAAGGCTGTAATAAATTTTCTCCTATTGTAATAATTTGTAATTAATGTGTAATGAATTATCCCATATTATATTTTCACTTTAACGCCTTTCTGAAGATGTGAGCTGGCTTCAGACGAAACCTGGCTCACAACTTTTATTTTCGGAAACAGAGAGTGTAATTAATGTTTCTTCTATTGTAATAAATTGTAATTAATGCGTAATAAATTCCCCCGTAGTTAGTTTTGTGGTGGGGTAAAAGAGCTGGTCCAGCTTTGTTTCATATGAAAGATAATTTTCAAAAAAAATTTCACTACGGTAAATCGCACAAAGAATAAATTATAGAAAATGCTTGTATAAAATATAGATAAATATAGAAAAATGTGTAATTTATCAATTAAACTTACCTTAAAATTCGAATAGAATCCAAAACCTTCATTATTTTGTACTTCACTTACAAAAATGAGAATCGGGTTTGTTTTTATTTTGAATAAGTTCATAAAGTCATATTTTCTTTTAATTATATTTTTTATACATAATTATTGATGTTGCGGTATGATGGGTTGTTCATACAATTCTAACTTAATTAATACAATGACTATAACAAATTGCTGTAGGTATGCATGACCTTTGTTTATTCAGAAAATTGTTGAAAACAGAGGCGTAGTATCCAAATTTTATTAGTAAGGTAAAAAAAAGATAGTTCTATTAAAAATTATAAATTGAGCATGTGTTTATATTGAGGCCAATGAAAGATGAAATAAATGATAATATAAGACAAATGGAAAGGAAAATGGGAGAATAGATTAAACAGAATGAAGAAGCAATGGGTGGTAAGATTGACAGAATAAAGTAAGGAATCCAAGAATTAAGACAATATAAAGAAGAAATTGTTCGAAATGTAAAAGAATTAGGAACATACACAGATGATAAAATTGAAGAAACAAGAACTGAAATGATAGTCAAAATAACAGAGATGGAGGATATGCAAGAAGGCAAAGTTAATAAAGTAATAGCCAACATAAAGGACAAAGGCAGTCAGAGTCAAGAAGAGTTTAAGAAACTAGCTACCTCAGTAATAGAAACTAACATAATAAATGAAAATATGGTCGAAAAAATGAGAAAAGTTTTGCAAATAAAAATACCAAGTATGGAAGAACAGATAGAAATATAAGCAGTAACAACAAAGAGAAAAAGAAATGTTTTTAAATTAAATAGAAAACCATAGGATGAATAGAATTGTAAATGGATGCACAGGATGGAAATCAGAACATAAAGTTGACGAAAATATAAACAAATTACATCCAAAAGTATTTCTGTAGATGTTAAGACACAAATTTAAATACAAGAATAATACGAGTAGAAGACCTAAAAAAAATATAAGGGAATCAAGCTCTGGTATGTTTATCCAGCAAAAAGGCGGAAATGAAATCTGTTGGAGAAAGTATTTCATGGATTATAATTGGGGAGATTATGCTTAGGCAAATATAACAGAAAATATGTATTAAGGAAAATTTGATGAGAGAAGGTGAACAAGCTACAGCCTATTATGCTCTGCAGCTTTATAGCTTAGTGCAATATTTAGATCCACCAATGAATGAAGAAGACATAATGGTCAGAAAATTATTCTTATTCAAATAATGAGTTACATTGCAAGACATTTTAAACCAAAACTAATGGAGACTATTGCATTGGGGGTACAAATAACAATCAGGATGAAAGATTTAAGAGAAAAAATAGGAAAAAAGGTGGTGAAGAAAGATGGTATAATAAGCCACCGGGAAACCATGAGAGGAATGAGAGAAATAGAAGAGTGAACAATATCTGAGTGAATGAAACAATGGGTAACCAGAAATTATAAATGATGAATTAAATGAACATTTTATCACTTACCAAAAGTAAAAAAATTATTGTGTTCGTATGAACTTGCAAGGGAATTCACAAATTTAGGGGAAATCTTTTCAAGGAGAAATAGAAGAAAATAGATTAGTATATGTGAGGAGAAATTTGGGGAATGAATTTTAATTGATATAGGGGCAGAAGCTTCGTTAATAAATAAAATGGAAGTAGAGGAGGAAAACGAGAGTATAAGAGTGCCAAAAGTCATTTTGGTAGATGCAAATGGCAAAAATTGTATGAAGCAAGTACGTCAGTAATAGGGAGGATTCGTTTCAATAGTAGTAAGATTATCGTTGAAAATTTAGAAGTAGATTGTAATCGAACAGATGTGTTAAGTAAACAAAAATCGAAAATTAATTATAAAACTATGACAGTAGTAATGGATGATGAAATAATTATGTTTGGAGAAAAATAAGTGAATTTATGTGGGAGAATCAATATTGTTAAAAGTATAGTTCAGAATGTAGAAAAAGATATAGAAGTTGTATGTGAGGAAAGATATAAAAATGAAGTCATTAATTTAATAATTAAATGTAAAAAACTAATTATGAAAAAAATGAGAGTGACATAATTAAGTTCATAAATTTGAAGTTAATGGAATTAAAAATTTCAAGGTAAAAACATACCTGATATCGTGTAAGTATAGGAAAGATGTAGGTGAGGAGGTTAGTAAAATGTTAGATGAAGGTATAATTGAGAGGAGATACAAAATCAAATGGTTTGTAGTTAAAAAGTCGAATGGAGAATTAAAGTTATGTTTGGAAGCTAGGAATATTAACAATTATTCATTACCTTAATACGAGTCACCAATGAATGGGGAAGAAATCTTTGGAAGGCTGACAGAGAGTTCTTATTTTACAAAACTTGATATAAAACGCAGCTACTAGTTAATTCCATTCAATAAAAGAAGTAGAGTATATAACTGTGAGGCGATTTTCTTAGGTGATAAAATTAATGAAAGATGAAATGGATGAAAATAGGGTTAAAGAGAATAAGTAGTATAAAAGAGGCTAAAATGTAAGAACTAAGAAAGAAAATGTTTTTGATTTGTTAGAAGGAAATAAAGAAAAAATATTGAAAAGGTACAATTTGGGAATTCGAGACCGATGCAAGCGATTGCATCAGACGAACGATGCACTTACGTTACGCTTCAAGGCTGCACACACTGCTCCGAAACCGATGTTGAAATTGCTGTTGTGGTCTTTTGCCTCGGTTGCTTACTCTCAAATGTGCTTCATATAAATTACATATGATTCATACGTAAAGAGACGCGTTTTGGTCGTCTGTTGCGGTCGCTTGCATTGCTCTCCTATCTCACTCTGGCGGTCTGGGGGTCTCACGTTTCCAAATGGTATATTAAAAAGAAAAAAAGAAGACAAAAAAATAGACAAAAAAGAGACAAAAAAGAGAAAAAATAGACAAAAAGAGACAAAAAAGAGACAAAAGAGAGACAAAAAGAGACAAAAACGAGACAAAAAAGAGACAAAAAGAGACAAAAAGAGACAAAAAAGAGACAAAAAATATTTAAAAAAAATATAAAAAAGAGACAAAAAATATAAAAAAAAAAATAGATAAAAAAAGAGACAAAAAACAAAAATAGACAAAAAAGAGACAAAAAACAAAAAATAGACAAAAAAGAGACAAAAAGATACAACTACATTAAATCTGTAGGCTGGCTCACGTGCTAGGAGGTGCCCATCATCTTAGGAGGATGCACAATGGGCCTAGTGAGGCCTAAGTGCCATGGGGGTAACCTACCCTCTACACGTTACAGATACAGAACTCAGATGAAATATTTTTTATTTTAAAGTAACCAAAACGTTAGAATTGTGAAATATTTACATTTAGGAGACTTTGCTTTCTGAGAAAGGGGTTAAATCTGGATAACTACATTAATGAAAGCATGCATAAGGTTCTGATGTGTCGATATCACTCAGTACATATGACCAAGTGGCATCTATTATGTATGGTTTTAATACTTCTTCTAGTTCATGCGGCCTCCATTAGCGTACTCTAGTAGCCCAATGCCACGCATTTGATGTAATTATCACAAAATGCAGCATTAATATGTGTTATTTATTGAAATTATTAATAATTTTATTTATATGTACATTACACATTATTACTTTAATAATCAAACCATCCTGTAGATATTAATTAAAGACTGTGTTTCCTGTGATTGGGATGATTGTATGTGAAATTTCATAATGATCCTCGTTTCTATAGATTTAAAAATGCCATGGCTATTATACTGTTAAGCAAGGCGTTACTCATTAATAAATGATTCTAATATAATTAGACCAATTTAAAATAAATAATTGAAGTAGGTCTTATTTCTTATTTTCTACACGAAGTTTTAATTCTTATTGGCAATTTAATAAGGAAAATTTTCAAATTACTCATAAGATTAAAGAAAATAATATCTGCAGTAATTTAACGAATAAATGAAAGTTAATCTGTAAGAGTATTAAAGCAAAAAAAAAATAAATGCGTAGGTGGTCCTGTGGTCAGCGTTCTTGCCTTCCATACGGAAGACTCGAGTTCGAATCTCAGATGGAGAACAATAAAATTATGTTTTTTTCTTTTTTTGCTTGTTTATTCTATTTTACAAACTAGTAAAAGTTATAAATAGTTATAAATTATTTATAAATTAATTATATTATCTTAATAACCTAAAATAATTTGTAGATTTTCGTTAGTGGATTGTAGAAAAAATATACTGTACAACTCGAGTGGATTGTCCATATCCATTCTTGTTGCACAAACTACTATTATCTTCAGATTAATATAATTAAAAATCAAATCAATAAAAAATTATATTAACTTCTTATCAGAATTAAATTTTTATGCTTATATGGTTCCCCCTGGAACTGTTTTCAATATTTGTAATGTGACTAAGAGAGTTTTATGATGATCACTTGGATTAAGTCGTTTCTATAACATTAATTAATGATTAGATTATATTTTTATTACCAGTATAGGTAATTTTTTGTTATTGCAAAACTTTGGAAATAATTTATTTCAAAAAAATTAACCTCTAAGTATAATCAAAAATAAATACGTATACAATGTAAACAACTATATTGGATCAATGATGAACTTAGTAGAGAAAAGGCAGTGGCGCATTCAGAGTTTAAGTTTGGGGGGTATTGAAAATATTGACTTTATTTCTGATATAAACAAAAAACATATAATACAAGAAAATTTAAAAAGAACAACTTTTACATGTATAATAAATATTAAACACATTTTAAAAACATTAATAACACGAAAGCTTATAAATGAAAACATAACAAAAACAAACAAAAATATTTTCTTGGGCATAACATACTCGCATGACCAGAAAACATGAAATAAAAAAAATATAACGTTTATTTTTATTATTTGCAAGTCTATTTGTAATATGGTTGGTTAAATTCTACAATTTCACCAGTGAAAACATCAACAAATTAATATTTTACATCTACTAAATAAATAAACAATTCTCAAATAGTTCGACTGCTTTTTACCCTAATATAATGTGAAGTCATAAAACTATAAATAGCATTTTTCTCAGAATACCGAACGTCGAACACCTGTGTTTTCAAGTGCACAGCGGTGCATTGGAACAAAATGAGTGTCCGGCGCATAGTGAACGAAGCACAAATGACGTATTTCATTATGTCATGATGTTTTCA